ACAGCTGATAAGTACATTCACCCATTTAAAGCAACATCGACCATTTGGTATTGTATATGAAGCTATATTGCCTACCCAACACTAGGAGTATACTCTCAACAGAGCCTGTTACTTGTGGTCAAAAGTAGTTAGAATACAAAAAGCGTGGGGCAGGGTCATTGTGAGTCAGCATCCTAGAATCTCTGCTTTTCAGCCTTTCACCAGGGATACCTGGCTCTTCCCACAGGGAAGACTTGGAGTGTATGAGTACCTTTGAGTTCATCTTGGCTCCTGGGGATTACCTAGACTAGTCCTGTTCTGACCTAGGCTTCCTGAGAAAGCATAAATTCCCCCAAACCCTCTTTTATTTAAACAGCTGTGAATTATGGCCATTCACAACCCATCATGATTCACATTTAGTCTGTAAAGCGTCCGACAGGTGTCTGCTCGGGTTGCCGCAGTCATTCAGGGTAATGTTAGTAAGCACCCACCTTTCTCTCCCTTGAAACACTGCCAGAGACCTAATTGCCAATTAGTTTCGCAAGACCAAACTTAGCACAGAGTCAAACAGGACTTCTCAGAGCTTGAACAGACTAGATGAACTAATTGCTTCCTGCAAAGGTTCACATCCGTTTGCTCCTCTTTTATGTCCTATGGGAGGGGCCAATCACCTCCAAGCCTTATTCCTGAGTCGCCCTTTTTGTCTTAACTGTTCTTCTGGCAGCTCTTGCGCATGCGCACACTGGGAACAGGCTCACACTGTTCTTCTGCCTCACTGAGGTCAGACTCGGGAGGGTCTGGAGGCAGCACGTACCTACCAGATTTCCCTGCCCCCCTCTTTGCTTCCGAGGCAGAGCCCTCGTCCAAGCCTCCCCCAGACTCCAAGACTCGCCCATCTTCCTCCCCAACCTTCTCACTGTCAGTTGCTGCCAGCTCCGCAGGTTGCCGGTGGACCACAACGAGTCCCTACAGTTTTCTTGGCTAGATTTTGGCTGTGGTTTGTCGTTGCCTTCTTCCTTGGGCTATCAGAGTGGGGCTGGCCCAAAGGCGCTCATCTGGCCCAAAGCAGAACTAGAACTCATGGCCCCCTGCTGTCATGAAACTAGTTCTACAAATAGATGCTTCATGTTGAGGAGAATTGAAATACATTTAATTGATTGAGTGTGTTTTCATTTTCTATTTCTTACTTTCTATCTTGTTTTGTATTATTATGTTGTTGGGTTGCTGTTTTTTGACTTCTGTAGTGACACGGCAGAGAACTTGGCCTCTCCTTTTTGACAAGGCCACTTGTCGAGTTCAAAATGTGTAATCTTATAAAGCCCTTCATGGTATTGGACCTGGGTACTTGAGAGACCGCCTGCTGCCAATCACCTCCACTAGACCGATTAGATCCCACAGATTAGGC